ATACCACTGCAAATGCTATGCTCACTCAATCACCTTCCACAAGAAAATACTAAATGGCATTGCAAATCTAAAGTCTCAATAATTATGTAATACACAAAAATAACATCTTGACTCTCATTTTATCTAGAAGAATATATTCTTCTAAATCACTATCACATCTTTTACATTGAACTGAATGAATTCCATTCTAACCATCAAATATCAAACGATATTTTCATTTTTCCCGACGGCTTTAATCAGCGCAAATGTGAATTCAAAATATGCCTGGATTTCTTTACTGTCATTGTGAACAAAAAACGAATAGTAGAGATAATGAAGCACTTTTCTGAATATTTTCAAAATGTAGTATACCCAGATAATGATTGATGACTGAAATAAACAATCTTTTGAGAAACTGAATTGGCGTGTTACACAGAATCTTCATAAACCGGCAGCACACCGGTGAATGGCAGTGAATGCTTATTTAAATGAATTATTAAGCAGTTAATCCTTCGTTGATTGCGTATTCCAGATAGAATAAATTGGAAAGGACCAGTCGTCTTTGTGACGCAAAGATTGAGCTCTTTGAAGAGAACCCATTTAGACGTCATTTGAAGAGCATCACAGTCCATAATAAAAGGTTATTCGATTCGGGAGTTCTTGAAAGGGGTATTTTCATTCTACAACTCTATCCTCGATTGAATATTTAAAGACTGTGATTCAAACCCATCCCTGAATATATCAGGAAAGATCAACCTGTTCCTTTGCCAACTAATGAAATGTACTTTTCCGAAGTCGGAAGAAGTTTCTTGTGTATCGTATTCGTAATCTCGTGTGAACCTTTTTGGTTTGAATAATTTTGTCTCAAAGATTTTTTTTGTGATATTTTTTTCTTTATCTTCCATTTTTCTTTTGAATGTTTCTGTTAATTATAGGTAGTGTTGAGAAGAACTGAGTTTTGCTAATAACAATAATCATTATGCTTGTTCTCTTATCACCCATTAGCAGTGGCGTAACTACAGGGTGGCAAGTCGGCAAAATGCCACGGACCCCCAGCCGGAAGGGGTCCCCGGTCAGAGGAGAACTCCAAACATTTATTATTTATTATACATGTTACGCAAGCACTCAAGTAGTTAGCAGTTTATAGTTGTAAGNTTTGTATGTACCTATTTAACAAAGTGATTTATTATTGTACTCTCACATGTTAAAGTGTATAATAAGTATTATAAAATAAAAAATAGTATTATTGTTGGTTCAGCTTCTTTATATTGGGGGGAGAGGGGCCCATCCGATGAATTTGCCACTGGCCTCGAATGGTATAGTTACGCCACTGCCCATTAGGATGATAGGCAATCATCAGGAACTTTTCAATTCTGCAATTTATTATACAGAATATTAAAGAAGAGATACCTATATGTTAGTCATGCGTTAATTCAGGAGTGTTTAAAAACTTTGTAAATCCAGTATAACTTATTTGTATAACGCTTCATTATGAGATTTCAGTTTACAGAACCCAATATGTGTTTCACCTTACAATAGCTTCCTCAGGCGTGTATGAAGAAGTTATTGTATAGTGAAAACACGTGTCGCAGTTATGTAAATTGTTCAGTAAAAACCTCACAATGAAATGTTACTTGACCATTAATATTCTGAAAGGCAGATTTCGCATGATCTAACGTTCTATTTTTCATATCAGCCAGACGATTGAATCAAGATGATATGTGAGATATTTTCTTGACGTCTTTCACCCTTTAATGGTGCTTGGGTCGTAAACTCTGCCTAATTAAAGTAGGATGAAACAGATTAATTCTGATATTTCTGGAAAGTAAAGATTTATCGTATTAATTGATATTTAGAATTTTTATAATTTCATATCGAAATGTGATTTAAGATACGTCAAATTGAAATATTTCAACTAGTGAAATATCATGTATATACTGCAAGAAAAATGTGCATCTTACATAATGGCAACTGAATGCCAGTAGATGATAGGTAGTCAGTTGAAACGGAAAAAATGAGCTTTTCTTTCTTCAGTTTTAACCATAATTTGAAGCGATGAAAAAAAATTCCTGCTTCATTCAAAATGAATAGAGACACGAGATATGGCGAGATGTTTTGCGAGAAAATTAAAAATATGGCTATATCAAAAATTTCTAAAGAATAGCCGATAGGAAAAAATGGCAATTTGCTACATATTAGGTGGAAAAATGTGAAATAGATAAGTCGAAGTCATGGTATGAGTCTTTATGATAATTCACTGACTGGTCCCGATCCGTATGTATAATGTTATAATTTTTTTATTTCATAATAAGAAAGTATGCATTTGTAGCCAACACCCTTAAATTGCAAGTTGAACTAACAGATAAAGATTGTTGTGCCCAACAAATACTATGGCATCGTTAAGATCTATAAGCTCAACAAAATGCTTTTTCATCATTAAGTCGATCAATTCGGAGACGAGATCGAGGAAATTTCGAAGCAGATTAATGACTTCGCCAAAAAACACTCAAGAAATGCAGTACTTGCCATAATAGCCGCGTTAATAGACCCGTACAACATAAGTAGTCAAGAATACAAATTAACCTCGATAATCGCAAACCCAAATATTACCAACTTTTTGAATTTATTGGACTCGAAACAGGAAATGACATAGATTCCGACAACAACAAAATCAAGAGGCAAAAACCTCCCACAAACGTTCAGCCACGCCGGAGCTTCCCAGCGAGAAGCATACAACGATGGCAAATGAGCCAAAACCAGCTCAACAACCAGAAAAGAAGAAGCCCAAAAGTTCTCAGAGTAACCGAACCATTAACAAAAAGACCCCTGACGTCACTCCCGAGCCAGAAGCCACCAAAAAAATAGAAGACCCATTCCTTGAATCAATGGATTTAGGCGATGAACCCAAGGTCGAGATTGCTCTGGCAACTCGCCAGGGTGAAACAAGAAAGAAAACGGAGAGACCCTGTTGGCGGGGGGTCCGAGCAAAGGATAAATGGAAACAATTCAATATGATTACCGCCGTGCAAAATATCACCATCTCACGGGCGGTAAACACAACAGACGGGATCAAGGTTTATCTGAAAACCTCAGATGAATACAGAAGAATAACACGAATCCTGGATCGCGAAAAGATCCCGTATCACACCTATATGGTGCAAGCGGAAAAATCACTGAGAGTAGTCTTCCAGGGGGTCCCGGAATCCCTGGAAGTAGAGGACATAAAGACGGAGTTACAAGGAAAAGGTTTTGAAATCCTTTCCATCGCTCGCATGAGCAAAACCAATAAGAAACCGATCCTGTTCGTGTTAGTCTTGGTTCCCAGAAGCCAAGCCAACATATACGAAGTCAAAGAAATTCAAAACGTACGCGTGAGCGCCGAACCTCAACGTCCCAGGAATAGAACAGGACAATGTTTTAAAACGTCAGATTTTTCTGAAATGAACGTATGGTTTCGTTTTTCGCCAGGAATGAAATTAACTGTTACTTCAAGAACATCAATCAATGTTTTGAAAAATAAAAGTATACAAATATATATTTTCATGTGATCAATATTTTTTCCACAGTATAGAAAGCAAATCGAAATGTTAGTAAGCAGTAGGTCTTTTTCATCTCTAACGAGTATTCAATATCGCCTCCATTTTCCATATTATTGCCCCATACACTTAAAATGTTTACAAAGCACAGTGAGAAAATTAGCTTGTCTTCAGAAGGAATGATATGTCTTCAGTTGAATAATATATTATCTTTAACAACATTTATTTTGTACAACCATCTCTACTATTTTTTCGCAGGCCAATAAGTTCTTCGCTTGCATTCCAAATATCTCTGCAAAAAGATGCATCTTCCATTGCCCTTGGCTCTTGGTGAACTTGATAATTCACAAAATATTTTCCGGAAATTGATTTTACTGCGTCAGAAGAAGATAAAAAAACAACCAGTCCTGCAGCATCTTGTGCATCTCTAGTAACACATTTCAATAAGATTTTCTTGAATTGGATATCCCAACCCCTAGAATCATCACCTGATAATAGGAAACTTGTGTTCGTCATTCCAGGATGTAGACAGTTAGAGATGACTTTCCACTCTTTCAGTTTATGTGCGAAACCTTTCGCCGATATCATGTTGCATAATTTGGTATTATAATAATGGATTGCTCCAGAAATGAAATGAGGGCAGTAATAATCAGGTTTTTCCAAATTCTTTATATTCAAATTGTGAAAGAAACAGCCAGAAGAGCTGACAAAAATAATTCTACTACCTGCAGATTCCTTCAACAAATCAACGAGAAGATTAGTTAACAAAAAGGGTCCCAAATGATTTATTTGCATTACTGCATCTAGGTTGTCTTCTGTTTTTTGTTTATTCATACAGAAAACGCCAGCGTTGTTTACCAATACATCTAAACGATCGATGGTACTCAACATTTTGCCAGAAAACTTTTTCACCGATTCAAACGAACCCAAATCTACAAATTCCGTTATAACATCTTCATTTGAAGTTGCTTCGAATATTTTGCGACGGGATTTGTTTTGGTCAGCCTTGTCGGCCATAATGACTTTGAATTTCCTTTTCGCAAATGCTAACGCTGTCTCGTAACCTATACCACGATTGGCACCGGTGATAATCACTATTTTCTTCGAAGACATTTAAAATTACTTTCATCAAACCTGACATTTTGTCAGAAAGACATGGATCAGAAAGACCTGATTGAGATATAAATTAAGATGCTTGTACACTGACTTAGAATGTTCATGCAAATCTGACGACCACTGATTTCATTTACGCTAGATACCGTTAATAATACTGTTCGTGTGACTGTACAGTGTTGCATATTCTCCAGCATGATGATGTCAATTGAGATGTAAATTGTCATGGCCTTGACATAATAAATTATCTAAATTGCGAACGCAGAATAAATTGATAAATTACCAGCAAAGATGATTATTCGACTTTGACACAATCATAATATGTCAACAAACGTCATCTTACGCGATTTTTACGATAGAATCAGTTATTTGTTTCAAAATAAATCAATTGATCAAATAAATAGAAATATTGACCATTTGCACCATCTCACGGCAACGTTAGAACTACTCCACTTGATAGACAGAACTAACCGTTGTATACGTACTACCAAAGTACAAGAGAACAAAAAGATTGTCATTCTAACGTAAATTGAAAATATTGAAGAAATATTAGTTTAATAAAATTGTCTTTTATAATTACAATAAGTCAAATTCAGGCAGTTCAATAAACAAAACGTTATAATTCAAAAACAAATGAAAAGCTAACTGACATCCACAAGTCTCAGTAGATGAAACTTGACTTCAAAATGGGCTCGATTTTGAGCTGGGTTAAATCTCGAAGGAGGTTTCACTCTTCTTCCACACCTGGTAGTAGTTACTTGTGTAATGCTTTCTCTCCTGGGTCTTGAAGTGAATTGTTTGGTTTTCGCATTTTTTAACTTCACAGTTAAATCAAACTTGAGTTCAGAGTTTTTATCGTTTGAGTCAAGTTCAATTCGATATAATTTCTGTATCAGTCTCAATAAACCACATATTCTTCGCTGTCCGACTCCTAATCTCTTGAACTCTAATTCAGACAAAAGGTTTCCATTGTTTCTCTCTTTGGATCCCACTCAATATGGTGGTTGAATTGGTCCAACAATAGACTTGCACATCTTCATTCGGCATGACATTCAGTACGGACTTTAATAACCGTGCTCCTATAATACAGCCTATAATGGCTGCAAGTATACCCTTTCACATCATTATGACTTGTATTGTATATTATTTTGCACTTGACTACCCCGCGCTGATGAGGCCAATAGCCAGAAACACGTGTCCACGGTTCGCCCCTCCATTTTCTAGAGTGCTTTTCTAGAGTTCTTGTTTTTTAAAGGTGGTTGACAATGTTTCATGGTAAATTTCATTGGTTCGGACTAATGAAATTCTCTTCCTTCTTGATTTTACGCTAACCACCCAATATAGTTGGTTATGAACGATGAAGAAGGAGGCACCCGCAACAGATACCTACTCTCGGATTTAGGATTTTTCGAAATATGAGAACCATAGTGCCACGGTACGCTTTGAGTAGATGCGTGCGCTGAGGGATAGTACGCTAGGAGAGTAGTGAGCTCGGGTTTGATGAATTTACTAGTTAATACCATATAAAACCTCTCACATTAAAATAATGCTTAGACCTCGTAATTTACCACGCCGCCCATGCCATACAAAGAAACTGCCCACGTTCGATAACCATTTAGTTTTTATGCCATTCTAATTGACTTGGTATATGCTATATATTCGCTTTCCGAATCAGAAGAACGGAATCTTCGCCTGGCGTTTCATAAAACTGAACAGCGGATACACAAGATAGAGTTGGCGAGAAGCATGCGTCTTGTATTTCATTGTGTGATCGGTTACAGAGCGCAACAGTCTTTTCACGCCCGCATTGCAGTGAAAAAGTTCTAAATTAAGACGTATTCATCACACTTTGAGTCTAGGTGAGCTGCTGACCACCAAGCAGCACCGCTTTGATAGGATACGAATGCTAGTGGCCGCTAAAAGGTCACTAGTCAGGCGAGCGAAAAACCTTAAGTTCCGTGAAAAACATTTTCACTTATTCCAACAGCCACCGCGTGTTGTGGAATCCTTCTGGAAGGACATTTATGAACACCTGCAGCCACTCAGTATAGGCACACATTGGAGAGATTTTCGACAGACTAAGCTCAATGAACTGAACAACCCGATAACACCGAATCGCATTCGAAGAGCCCTTATGGGTTCCAAGAACTTTGCTGCTCCAGACCCAGATGTGCTGAACACTAATGGATGGAAAAAACTATCGAGCACCCACTGCTATCCGGCCAGGGGTTTTTAGGTCATGGCTGGACGGAAGCAACCGATTCCGAAATGGTTTGTCTTATTCCCAATGACGGAGATGTGTTGATTCCTAAGAATTACAGACCGATAGCATGCTTAAACTAGTATTATGAGTTTTTTACGAGCATCTTATACACACGAATACTCACCGCACTTGACCGAGTATTCGAACAGATATGTGAACAGAGAGGGCCGAAGAGAGGAGTTGCTGGATGTGAAGAAAACCTGCTTATCAATAAATGTGTAACGCAGGACTTGATACAGTATAAAAGTAACCTCTCTATAACCAGAATCAATTATCGCGAGGCATTTTATACAACTTCGCATAAGCTCATTTTGTATTTGCTCAGATGCCTTGTGGTTTCCGACAGAATACTAAGGTGTCTCGAACAAATGATTCCACACTGGCGGACTCGCTTCATCTTAACATCTGGTCAGGCTAGAGTCCAAAAAGAGTGGGTCACCTTCAGAAGGAGTGTATTTCAGGGCGTTTCCCTCATTTCTTTTCTTTTTCACATCTCACTATCGGAATTATCTGTTGCTCTCAGGAATACTCGAGAGCATAACTGATCGGGTGACCGGAAGCATACGGTCACCCATTTGTTTTTTATGGATAATCTTAAAATGTATGCCTATGGAGAAAAGTCCTTGAGGGATATATAAATATGCAACGGACCATCTAGAAAGAAGACGATGCGGGGATCATTCTACACCATGTGGATTCCTGACAGATCTCATCATCGCAACTGTTGAGGAAGAACACAGTTGCTACTAAGAATATGCTTGCCGTTCCAATCTCACTCTACTCGTTTTAAGTATTGAAGGGGGCTAAGGGAAGCTGTATCAATTCGACGTGAAGATGATGCATTTCCATAAGAGTTTGCATTACAAATCGACTGTTCCACGGTTGTACTTCCCTAAACAACGGAAAGCCGTGGACTTTTGTTTGGAGTGTTTACATGAGTGTACGAGATGGAGCGGATTTTTTAGTTTTCTTTCATGTGAGAAGAGAACTCAATGTATTGCTATTTTTTTCCATTCTTCCGGCCGCTGAAAATACAGTTGAAATGTGATTGGTCCTGCGAAATTGTTCTCTTTGGTTCTTTTCATTTCAAACCGAATTACTTTATTTTTTATAAAACAAATAGCAGTAGCGAGAGTTAAATGAGATTTTGGTTTAATATTCCATGTTTGGTTGTTGCTTCCGGCGGATAGTGATTGCACTCTTTATTAATAAAATTAAAATAAATAAAATATTCATTCATCCTCTCAACTATCGATGAAAATAAAAAGGACAAGTGAATGTTTGTTATTATTTTATATGTCCTAGTAGAACTATGTAAGGTTTAGTTGACAAACAACAACAAGACAGAACGAAACAAGGCAAAATTATTACAATAGTGATTAATATAAAAATTGTGAAATACGTCCATATCATATCAAAACAGAAAAAATTTAAATTACTCAATAGTATAAAATCATTCTCTGACTAGGAGACATTTTTTATTTCTTGTAATACGAGTATTTGGGTTTGTTCTAGTGTTTTAGTCACTGGTAATGGGAAATTGATGTTAGTTATTGAAAATGTAGGAATGCTGAAAGTTACATCAAATAAAGTGATGTTACCGTGAGGATTCGGTACCATAATGTTGAAAAATACATATAGATGAGTATTTGTTGAAATATTGTAAAAATATTGTGACAACACAACTCATTCGAGTTTTCTATACTTTTTTCAAAATACCCTCCGAAGGCCCCAGATTAAAAGATGAAATGACCTTTTTTCCATCAAAATTCTTCTAGTTGTATCGATTGTGCCACTTACATATGGGACTGGGAATAGCATGGTGCTTCTAAATGACTCGGAGAATTATTAACACAACCTACCCGAAACACTAGGCTAATGACCATAGTAGCTGATGCCGTCAACATCGGAAATAAACAACCTATGTCAACGCAGTGTCAAAAAGTTGTTAAATAGCTGCTTACTATCTTGGGTTTTACATCCAATTTATTTCAGTGAAATCATAATCATCCATGTCCAACAGCTATTTATGATAAAAGTGTTAAAATTGAGGTTTTATTTTGTCAGTGAAAAAGTTTGCGAAAGGAGCGTAGCGAGTTGAACAATTTTACAAACTCACTTTTAACACAAATATCATACAAAGTGTGTATATCTCTTGTCAGTTAACTAATTTCATGTTATTGCATTTGCTGTGAAGTGGCCGTGTCAGGTGACGCCGAATCACCTGGTTACCAACAAACTTTACAGCTCACGCGTTTTATTTACAGTCACATTTAAAGTTCTTGCTGGTGTAATGTCTTGCATAATGAAGAACAATAGTGAGGAATTGTGTGTTCCTGACGGCATTGAAGAGGTTGCAAAAAGAGCTTCAATTGAATTGTTACCAAAAAAATTGGCTCAGCAGTACGACATTGCATATTCAAATTTTCTTAGCTGATGTAGACTTATAAACGTCGATGAAAATTTCGGCGACACCGTTTTCTTAGCCTATCTAGAAGAGAAATCAAAAATATGGAACTTACTCATCATTGAACTTGCTCTTTTTGGAGCAAGTTTTCAATGATGAAGTCGAGTGCGCTCGTTGAAAATGGTACTAATACAAGCAAATATTTCAAGGTAATAGCAGTTTTAAAGCAGAGTCCCAAAAAATCAAAAACCCTTATGTTTGAACAAGTCTAGAGGTTTAAAAATGAGGCGCCAGATGAAAAATATTTGATGAATTTCACTAGTTCACTAGTTCGGACTTCCATTGCCTACTATATAAAATGATTTGAAATCCCTGAAACAACTAAAAAAGAAGAATTAAAAATGAATAGCTGAAA